GGGGGGATTTATTAAACTGGTTTACAGAATGTGGTCTGGGAAACCCAACAATGATTCTCACAACATGAAGGCCAAGAATTCAGTAGTTCTGGCCGTGATGCTGGATGCATCGGCAGTCCAAATCCGGTCCTGGAATCCGGGAGGATTCCTGGAGAGCTCACTGGTCTCCAGTCTATGTTGGAATCCTGAAGAAGCTGGATTTAATACTGGTCACAGTCATGGGAAAGACAAACTTGCCAGCAAGAGAGAGGGCAAGAGGGAAAGCAAGCTTCTCTCTTGTCCTTTTACGTGGGCTACTGCCATAGGTGTGGCCCAGATCTTCCTGCTTCAAACAACTGGATTAAGGGAATCCCTCACAGGAGGGCCCAACATCTTGCGTTTTAATCATTTTTACTCTGAGTGACTGAGATCTGCTGTGGGTCTGTCTTCTGGTCACAGTGTTTGGCAGTGGCTAGTGTTCTATGGGAAATGTCTTCACAGTCCACGTCTAAGTCCAGCTTTCACGGCAGGGACCTAGTTGGCTCCAGACACTCAAACCACTGCTCAGTCAGAGCAGAGGAAGCAAACTGGGTTCAAGTTCAGGAAGTGAACTTTAGTTTGCCATGTGTTACTTGTCTTTGCCCGTTGGCTAAAAATATGCAGATGTTTGGCTCTAACTTTTTCCTATGCTGCCGAGGATCCAGTCTTGTGAATGGCAGGCAACCACTCTGACACTGAGCCTCATTTCCCAAACCAGTCATGATTCAATTTAGCTCTCAGAGCTTCTGTGTAGAGACAGGGCACAGGACTGTAAAAAGTTACATAAAATGCAAGAGAAACGATTCTCTGTCTCTGTCTGTCTGTCTGTCTGTCTGTCTGTCTCTCTCTCTGTCTCTCTCTCTCTGTCTCTCTGTCTCTGTCTCTCTCTCTCTCTCTCTCTCTCTCTCTCTCTCTCTCTCTCTCTCTCTCTCTCTCTCTCTCACCAGTGTATAGAGGAGTCCCTAGACAGAGTCACCTTGAAGGTCTAAAAAGATTACTCAGATTAAGAGCATGTATTGTTTTTACAGACAACCCTGTTTCAGTTCTCAGCACCCATGCAGGATAGCTCACAGCTGCTTATAATTCTAGCTCCAGGGGGAAGTCTATACCTCTGACCTCCATAGGTACCTGTACTCATGTGTACTTACCCCAACACACACTTACACACACATACCATACACATGCACAAATCTGAGCTATAAAACCACCTTGAGAAAGAAAAACTTATTTTTTTCCTCGAATGCAGTATAGTCTTTCTTACCCCCTATTTTCCCAATGCCCTTTACATCCTCTACAGAGTGGTTTCATTGTTTTCTTTTATACTTAACAGACAAGGTCTATAAGCTCAGTGAAGCCTAAGAACCAAGAGCCACTTCAATGTCTTGCCAGACAGATCATCTATCAATATCAGATGCCTTCAGTTCCCAGAAGAGAGAAGAGAATTAGACATGAGTCCTTCACTTTCTTTTGAAATGAAATTCAAGTTTTTAGGGAAGGACAGCTTATTGGGCAGGTGTCTTCCCTTACAGATGGGCAGCGTAAAGATTTAAAATCCACCTGGCCACAAAGGGGAAGGCACATCCTCTCTCTAGTACACCAAAGTATAATGCTCCAGGTTTCCCTTGTCCATGCATCAGAATAGGCCCTGGGCATTTGTTCTGTGCAAAGTCTGCCTTCCTGGATCTGTCTGCATCTGGGATGCATTTCTGTAGTGAAGACATTAGGCTCATGACAAAAATGTGAAATTGAAAAGAGAAAATAGGACTCCTTTTGTGTTCACCTGATGACTGACACTCTTTAACCATGTAAGCAAAATTACCAGTCTTCCCTGAGGAAGAAAAGGTTGCATTCAGTGCTCCAGGTCGTTTCCCAGCCAGTGAGGGACAGCAGGGTCTAGCTGGGGAAGCTGTGGTGGTTTGACTATATCCTGTTTCTCAGATCCCCAACCTTTGAAGTGTTTCTGCGGACTCTCACAAGTCCCACCGGGTGAGCGCTTGTGATGAAACCACTGAGGAGAGATGGGATGCTGAAGGGCCTATAAGAGTTCATCTGGTCCCATCACCCTCTGATCTGCTGCTCAAGTGTGGGGACAACTAGAACCATCTTTGCCAGGGCTATGGCCACTGTGAGGACCAGAGGGTTGGCAGGAGCCCCGAGCTGGAGTGGTGTCTTGTCTGAATACGTTTCCAGCTGGGCTGGTGCCACTCTGCACCTGTACCAGAGGCTATTGCAACCCAAGCTCATTTTTTGGTTCATGTGTGCTTGTCCTCAGCTCCTTTCTTCGGTATCCTGTCCACTGGATTCCATCTACATCACAGCAACCAACATTCTTAATGATTCCAACTCTAGGTGCATTTGTGTTTGGATTGCTGGGAACAAAAGTCAACACCCAAGTGTGTTCCTCCCTCAATCTCTACCTTCCTTACATTTGTTTTACTTGCTTATAGACAGGATCTCTCACTGAACCCAGAGCTAACTGAGGAGCTAGACAATCTGGTCAGTAAGATCCAGGTAGCCCCATCTCTGTCCATCCTGGAGACAGAATTCCAGACATATGCCTAACTTTTATGTGAATGGTGGGGATTTGAACTCAGGTTCAACACAAGCACCATACTGACAGCTCTATCCCCAGCCCCTACACACGGCTTTTCTAGGTCTGGCAAGAGAATGCAGACAGCAGATGCTGGCCCCATTAATCCCACACTGAATCTGTGTCCCAGGTTTGGTTTAGTTAGTAATCACTTTCTAGAATGAGGCTGGGCCTGAGCCACCTTGTAACTTTATATGACCAATTTTCACAGTTAGGGACAACCCTAAAAAGCCAGGACCCCAACAGATAATGTTACTGACTTTAAAAAAATATCATTTTCAAAGTAGGTAAAGCTGGTCGCTAGTCACCAAATTCTGTGTGATTCGGGTATCTTGTCTGTAAAGAAATTCAATTCTATTTCAAGCCATCAGACATAACAAATCTCTAAAAGAAGTCGTCAGAATTATAATGCTTCTGGCTTTACATCTTGGGGCTCATGTTGTACTGTACATGCTTACAAACTGTACCGTTACAGGGGGGAACTGACTTCTTCATCCCAGAGCTGTAGAAAGACACTGGCATAGTAGGGGAGCCCTCTGTTTTTGTTCTCTCTCTCTGCTTAATTTCCATTTGCCGAGTCAAAAAGACTATTAATGAAGATGATGTCAGAGCCACCGTCTGCAACTGCCTGGTTATTCTGGGATTTGTAGCATGGATTCAGGCTTCCCAAATGTCAAAATAAGTTTGATTATGGCCTTGGCTGTTCCTGTCTTTGGCACAATGACTGGCAAATGTGTCAGCTCCTAACTTTCTGGTTATCCCATTCCCACATTTCTGATGGATATCTAATCTCGTTTCTTTGGTTTGCTTCTGGATTTTTTAAATTTATTTTTCAGTTTAAATTTAGATAAGAAACAAGGTTGCTTCACAAGTCAGTTCCAGGTCCCTCTCCCTTTCCCTCCCCTACTCCCATGCCCTCCCCCCAACCCCCCATTATCCCCTCATTTCCCCAGGGAGGGTGAGGCCCTCCATGGGGGTGTCAATAGTCTGTCATTTCATACAGGGCAGGGCCTAGACCCTCCCCCAAGAGTTCAGGGTGAGAGTGCACCTCACATTGTTGGATGGGAGTCCAAAGTCCGTGTGTATAGTCGGGATGAGTACTGATCTGCTGCCCAAGGCTGAATAGATTACCTAGGCCTCCTCACTGACACCCCCATTCAGGGGGTCTTGATCAGTCCCATGCTGGATTCCCAGGCTGATACCTGGGATTCAAGAGTTAACCTTTGTCAAGCTGTTTCTGGGGGGTTAAACCAGCCCAGTCTTAATCCCTTTGGTCATCAGTCCTCCCTCTCTGGTACTGGCATTCTTGAGTTCAGCTCAGTACTTAACCGAGGGAGTCTGCCTCTTCTTCCATCAGCCACTGAATGAAGTTTCTGTTTCCCAGACTCTCTGGCCATGGGATTGTAGGCTGGAACTCCCCAGGTCTATGTCTAAAATCCATATATGAGAGAGTACATGCCATGTTTCTCTTTTTGTGACTGGGTTACCTCACTCAGGATGGTTTCTTCTAGTGTCATCCATTTGCCTGCAAATCTCAGGATTCCATTGTTTTTTTCTGCTGAATAGTACTCCATTGTGTAAATGTACCACATTTTCTCTATCCACTCTTCGGTTGAGGGACACCTAGGTTGCTTCCAAGTTCTGGCTATTACAAATAATGCTGCTATGAACATAATGGAACAGACATCTTTGTTGTATGAATGGGCATCTTTTGGATATATGCCTAAGAGTGGAGTTGCTGGGTCTTGTGGTAGATTTATTCCCATTTTTCTGAGGAATCTCCATACTGATTTCCAAAGTGGCTGAACCAGTTGGCACTCCCACCAGCAATGGAGGAGTGTCCCCCTTTCACCACATCCTCTCCAGCATAAATTGTCATTGGTGTTTTTGATTTTAGCCATTCTGACAGGAGTGAGATGGTATCTCAGAGTTGTTTTGATTTGCATTTCCCGGATGCTTCTGGATTTTTATTAACCCATGTTCCTGTGTGTGAATTAACCTTGGAATTCACTCTGCACTGTGATCCTATCAAGATATTTTTTAAAAGAAGAGCCTTACTTTTTTGTGTGAAAATATGACATATTCTTGGTGACACAAATTCAAGTAATACACATAGGAAGTTAAAGAAAAAAATTAAAGATTGTCTGCTTCTCTGCCATCCAGAGAGCCACCAAGTTCTTGATAAGGATATTTTCAGAAACCTGTGTAGATATATGCACAAATAAAGCTGTGCAGACACAGTTGGATTCAGCTGGAAACACGCAGCTCTAAGGATAGTGTTCCTCATTCTGCTCAGTCATACATCACAGCTTGGAGACATGTCTCTGTGGGTCTCCACGGCTCTTGTTTGTACTCTAAGATACAAAGCCACTTATTTTTTTTTCAGAATGTGTATGTTGCAAGCTTGTGAGATGAGGCACTGTCTACCTGTGGATGGGATTACTTATTGCTTGCAATAAAATGGTGGTTTCCTGAAGTCTCCTCGACAATGCTGAGGCATGAATGTGAGTATATTTGCATCAGTTCCTACAGAATATGATGCAAACTGTATAACATCCATCTAGGCTGGCCATGCTGCCCTCATATAACTGAGGTAGACTTCCTCTTGTCTTATGATCACCAATTACACTGCTATGCATGAGTTCTGAGCTAATCTGTTACAATCTTAGTACGGAATGTCAATGATATTTGGGATGTTATTATTATTCAAAGACTATGAGGTTACATATTTGCATATTGAGACATTGAAGCCCAGCAGTAAAATGGCTTGACTAAGATCACACACAATAGCAGTATTTGAGCCAGAGGTCCACTTCCATCTTCCTGCATGGCTCACTAGTTCAAAGCATATGAAGAATAGTGGCCTATGAAGTCTGTCAATTTTAGTGGTATTGTAATCATAATCACATATCTGCACACACTAAAGGTTTACACATCTTTATTAAAATTAAAGTAATTTCATTTTAAAATAATTTAATTAAAACCACACCCATTAACTTAAACCATTAAACATATATATAAACACAGATTAGCATTTTGAAAACACAGTGACCTAGTAATACCAATTTTAGAAATCTATTCTTATAGAAATATATAGCAATAAGTGCTAAGATGTACTGTATAGGTACAAAACACTGTATAAGACAGCAAACGACTGGAAACTAGTAGATAATGAGCTCAACATATTAGGATATATTCTTAGGACTGAATTTTATGATAAAGGATGAAATCTAGAGCCAGCAAGATGGCTCAGTGGACAAAAGCAATTGCTACCAAGTCTAACAACCTGAGTTCGACTCCTGAGACCCACATGGTAGAAAAAAAGAACAGACTCCCACAGCTCTCTGGTCTGCATGCATGCAGACCAGACACCTATATCTTATGGTTACTATTGCTATGATGAAACACCACAGCCAAAGAAACTTAGGTAGGACGGGGTTTATTTGGCTTATACTTCCATATTGCTGTTCTTCATCTAAGGAGGTCAGGACAGGAACTCAAGCAGGGCTGGAACCTAGAGATAGGAGCTGATGCTGAGGCCATGGAGGAATGCTGCTTACTGACCTGCTCCTCATAGCTTGCTCAGCCTGCTTTCTTATAGAACTCAGGACCACCACCCAGGATGACACTATGGGTTGGGCACTCCCCCATCAATCACTAATTAAGAAAATGCTTTGCAGGCTTGCCTACAACCTAATCGTATGGAGGCATTTTCTCAGTTGGGTTCCCCTCCCCTCAGATGACCCTAGTCTGTGTCAAGTTGATATAAAACTATCCAGCACACACATGCAAATAAGTAAATGTAATTTTAATTAAAACAAGGAATGAAGTCCGTTAAGGTGCTGATATAGATGATTTCTAAGATACATTGTCAAGTGAATTTCCTGTCATTTCAATAAAAAGGCAACAGAAGGACAGTGAGAAACTGATCACATTGTCCATGTTTGGGGAAGAAACTAAGAGAAGACTTCGTGTTTTCTTTGTGTTTGTGCTTTTAAATACCATGTACTTGAATAAATTAATTTTGACTTTTAAAAGTGTAGTATTACAAGTAGAGATAGTGTTCAAAGTGGTGTTTCACAGGCCTTTAAGAACCTATGGGAGGGGTCTGGGCTTCCTAGCCCACACTTTCTTGATTGGATTCAGGTAGTCCTCCTGGAACACTTGCTCTTGCTACCTTAGAACAACTTAGGTAAACAAGTACTGAAGTTCATGATGGAACACTCCTCACTTCTCCTTTGCTTATTATTTCCCATCTGATTTGACATCTACCCTCAGGTGCTGCTTATCTGTTATGGAACCCTTGCTTCTCCCGAGCTACCCCACTGCCCGGCTATCTTCTTATAAAGGGGTCGTCGTGTTGCTTTTTTCTGCTGGCAACAGCTTAGCTCTTGCCCCACCTCCACTTCTCTGAACTATCCGAGCAGACAGTGTCCATGAATACTAACAGACATGTAACTAAGAACTACTAACTTTGACTCGGAACCTTATCTCCACCTAGCTAGAGTATTTTCCTTTTCAAAACCAGAAGAAGGAAATGATGTATTTTACTTTTTTCCTGCCAAATCCTGGTGAGAATAGCAAGAATTAAGTACAACTACAGAAACCAATTTCCATGCAAAGTTCCTGGAGTCATTGTTCAGACTGCTGCTATGCAAAAAATCCAACCCCAGAGCATGAGAATTGGCCATCAGTAACCATGATCGAGCATTGGATTCAGAACTGCACAAATGCAGATTACTTGGGACTTCAAACACTTGGGGATAGTGGCAGGACACATGGATCCTGAGATTTGGGTCAGTATGGGCTTACATGTACAGTTAGGTCAAAAGTGACTTCAGTCTGTGCTAAAATGGACTTGGTTTAGCTCAAGCTAATGTCAAAGATGAGGACATCCTGGGACGGGTAGTGCCAGGGTCTGGTGGTCAAGCCCCATATACCACTTTCTCTTATAGCTTCATTTGTTGATAGACTATGGGGAAAACACACCAGGATTACTCAGAAGCAATGATGGCAGTTATAATTTAATATAACCAATATCAGGTGAGGCTGATATTGTAATTTAAGAAAAACAGCACAAAAGAGAAAGATGCCATGAGACAGGGTTCAAGCAGGGTTTTTTTTAATTAGGAAAAGGGATCATAAAAAGGGGAAAGGGGAAAGGGAAGAGACCAGCCTCCGGAGACAGGAGCAGCAGGAGAGAGGAGAGAGGGGAAGAGGGGGAGAGAAAGATGGGAGGTTGACAGGGCCCTTTTTTCCCCTCAATATGTTTTTATTTAAATTGGAAACATGAATGCTTCACATGTCAATCTCAGCTCCCTCTCCCACTCCTCCTGCCTTGTCCCTCCGCCAGCTCCCCCAGCCCACCACCCAATCCCCACATCATTCCCCAGGGAGGGTGAGACCCTCCTTGGGGGATCTCCAAAGTCTGTAATTTCATCCAGGGCAGGACATAGGCCATACCCCACGTGTCCAGGCTGAGAGAGCATCCCTCTATTTGGAATGGGCTCCCAAAGATTATTCATACACCATAGTAAACACTGATCTACTACCCAAGGCCCCAGTGATTTCTTTGGCCTCCACAATGACACTACATTAATGGAGTCTGGATCAGTCCCCTGTTGGCCTCTCAGCCGTCAGTCTGGGATTCAAGAGCTCCCCCTTATCTGGTCAGCTGTCTTTGTGGGTTTCACCATCATGGTCTTGACCCCTTTGCTCATCACTCTTCCATCTCTGTCACTAGGTTCCAGGAGTGCAGTTCAGTGTTTAGCTGTGGGTAACTGTCTCTGCTTCCATCAGTCCCTGGATGAAGGTTCTAGGATATCATATAAGGTAGTCATCAACCTTATCATCAAGGAGAGGCTATTAATGTAGTCTCCCCACTATTGCTTAGTTTGCCAGTTGTTGTTATCCTTGTAGATCTATGGAGATCTCACTAGTGTCAGCTCTCTCCTCAAGCCTATAATGACTCCATCTATGGGCAGGGCCCTTTTAAAGGGGAATGTAGTGAATGTGCACAGGTGGTGCTCTTAGTGGCAGCAGCTGAGGGCATATCCTGCCAGAACCCCAAGGACAGGCCAGTACAGATGCCTGAATACTAACAGCTGAGCCCCTGTACTTCTCTGAGATATTCAGGTCTTGTGAAACTGCCTCAATAAGAGACATCAGGAAAAACAGTGTCCACTGAGCTGAACAAAACACTGTGGCCATAATAAGCATCACTCTGAGAAACAGCTCCCTGTGTTTCACGATTCATAGCCTCTGGCTGTCAATCTTGCTTCTCTGACATTACCATGTGAATTCATAGCACACAATCCAGCATGATATCCTTGTCATTGTCCTCCCCTTTCCCAATGCCATTGACCTCTTTTCTTTGTCATACATAATCTCCCTTATTTAAAACCCCCAAAATAGTTTGAAGACAATACTTTAAAAAGGGGGGAAAGGAAAAAACAAGACTAACAAAGCTTATACCTGACTTTTCTTTTCTTTTTTTTTTTACAACCAAAAGAATTTTCTCTGCATGAGAGTCTATCATGGGGTTCTTTAAATTCATGTCTGAGTTACAATCTTGATGTGGTTTGAATTTACAGTTTTTCTTTGTTATAGAAGCTGTAGTTTTAAATAGAAGAACCGGGACAGAGAGCAAGAAGTATACACAATTAAGCAATTCCAGTCAAGTAATGATCTGATTGGCCATTGTCTCACTTCTTCCAGAAGATGATTCTGAGGGAGTCCTTTTCACCTGCAGGGACATCCACTTACCATGGGATGGTGGTTCCTACTCATAGTGGAACAGCATCTGTTTCTATTCTGGAGTAAAAGCTCCCACTTAGGAGTGTGACCTCATTATGGGTTCATTGCTCCTAAAATCTTAGGTGACTGAAGGTTTAGGACAAAGACTGGGGATTCTGAAGAGTACTTGGGTTGTATCTGGTAGATGGCTTTTACAAGTGAACAGTAAGAGGCCACAGCTGTGCTGATACTCGTGCCATCAGCCTTGAAAGGTGATGGAATAGGCTAGCTATGAGCAGCATTCAGGCAGATATGATATACACGGAGGAATTAGCATCCCTACATGACCCGAAGTAAATAGAAACAAAATGAGGATGGATGTTGTTGCTTTTTAACAGAAGCTGTTTCAAGTGCCTGCTAACGACACATATACGCATGCATGGCCATATAGGTGTGTACATGTTGAATATTAGAATGCATTCATGTTCCTGGCAAGAATGAAGACTAGAAGTCTACAGAGACACTTATTTTCCTCCCCTTAGCTTTCTGACTACTGAAATAATGGACTTCATGGCCTTTCTCTAGGAGACTCGGGTTGGGAAAAAGGAAAGGTTGAACCCTGATACCCACCAGAAAAGAACATTTTCTGACTGCCATACCATTTTGATAACCTGACTTGACTGCCTTACTGGAGAGTCTGGGACAGACACAATTATGACTGATACGACTGTACCCAGACCATCAGTTATGCACATCCTTTGTCTTTTACTTAAGCCTACACTTCCTGTTAGGGCCCCAAACATGGACTTGGAGGGTCCTTGCATCTCTTTATTACTCTTTCCAATGTGACCCCGTTGAATAAATACCTTTTTTCTGCTCTTCACTATTAATTGTATCTTTAATTGACCTACAAAGGTCAAGTGACTGAGCCTGGCTTATTAGGGCTACCAGGTTCCAGACCCTGATCTTCACTGCTCCAGTAACAAAAATAGATTTTTTAAAAAAGGTAAAATCATTACCCTCATACAGATATGAATGGAGTGTATATTAAGGATCTGTATTGATTTATGAGTCAGTGAGGGAACCAGATGTCACAACCAGTTCAAAGAAGAAGTCTTAAAATTTTTTATGGGAGCGAAGGAATGTTGGATGCACAAACATAGGTGGAATTAGCTTCTTCCACAACAGGTCAGGAATACCAGTTAAGCTCCTAGATAGGGTGGAATTCACTGGAAACTTGGTCCTCCCATCTAAGACAAGACTTATTTTCCACCACCATCAATTACCTACAGTTTACCAAGAAGTAAAAGAGCTTGCACAGAATTAGAATTGCATAACTCACGGTGTCCTTTGGAGACTAGGAACAGTTTTCTATGGAAGCATATTTCTTCCTACAGCACCCAGCACAAGCCTAACAAGCCCTCCTCACTTCTCTCCACAGGCAGCTGCTAGAAAAAGAGCCAAAGACCTGGAGAATAGGGCAGGATTCATTTCCTGTTAACCCAGAGGAAAGCCGCCTTCATTTCCTCCTAACTTCCGGCAGAGACAGCTTCAGGGCCATGGGAGAGGGTTGGGGCTTTGGACTGGAAAGAGAGAGGTGTTTTTGGACTATCCCTTTCTTTGTATCTGGTGGTAATAGATTTAGAAGGACCCTATTTGGATTCCGTGAAGCAAATCTGAAGTCTTGTCAGCCTTATTAAACTTGGGTTTTAACCAATAAATGAAAAGTGTAAGTGGGCAAAACCTAACAGAGGTAGAGAGCTTGGAGGAATGGGGCCAGGAATAGTTAACTCTCTTACTGCATGTCAGTTGTAGTTTTACTATGTGGAAGCGCCCACACCTTATATGTCTGATGCCTACCAGGGCTCCCTTCTTAGTGACCCTCCCTGAGGCAGAGGGGAGGAAACTGGGTTATTCTGCTCAGTCTGGGCCAAAGGAGCTCTTCTTTCCCTTCAAACAATGGAGGTTCTTCCTCCTTTCTGTGGGGTTGCGTTTTAATAAGGTCCCCATGGGACAGCCTTGGGGGGGGCATACATCGAGCCAGCATTTCAGTTTAAAAACCTGACTTTTTAGGTTTTTGATTTTGGTTTCCTCTTGGGTCTTGGGCAGCTCAGTCAATTCCCCCTGAGAAGATGAACCCCTGGGACATCCTGGGCAGTTGGTCTCTGTTCTAGAGAATGGACCTTCTGGCTGGGAGAAGGGTCCTGGGGGTATTAAGGGGATCTGACAGGGATGCATCCAGAGTGCATCAGACTGTTTTTGAAAGTAACACATCACTGGGTGGTGGTGGTGCACACCTTGAATCCCGGCACTCGGGTGACAGAAGCAGGTGTGTATGTGAGTTCGAAGCCAGCCTGATCTACAGAGCGAGTTCCAGGATAGCCAGGGCTACACAGAGAAACCTTGTATTGAAGAACCAAAAGAAAACATAAAAGCAACATCTTTTATGGGGGGAAAGTCTACCTCAGCCAGTATATCAACCTCAAAACCCTATTTAAATATTCCTTAGCATTTATTGGGCTGCAATCACTAAGCTCTTGTAGGTTCCAGCACATGTCTCAGAGATAAACAAGCACAGAACTGGTCTCTAATAAAGTAAAAGTATGTGATACAGCCTGTGTGTAACAGCCTGGAGGTGGTTACAGCAGGGTTAGGAGAGAAAGCGAGAGACAGGAAGTGTCACATCTGCTGCGCGGCCTGTGTCCGAGAACGTGCGGAGGGTGTCGGGTATTGAAAACACAGAGACTCGTTCAATGATATAAAGAAAACTTTAAACAGGCTCCAAAAAGGTTCAAGAAAAACTTCCTAAGAAAGGCTCCCACCAGAGAAGCTTCTGCTCTCTCCTCTACCCTGGCTGGTTCTGCTCTGACCCCAGAGGTGGATGTGTGTGGGTTTTTGAAGGTACCGTTAGTCTCTGGACAAGGTCGAGGTCAGGGCGGTTTCCGTGGGAAGGCCTTTCCCAGGAACTTATTGTATCGTTTTTAGTAAACATGTTTTTACTAAACATTGTCTTACAGCTGCCTACTCCCAGGCAGAAGGGGAAGTGGGTCTCTGCTCAAGGTCTGGTGTTCCCACAGCAATCCTATTCTCTTCCCAGATGCATCTCCAGCTTTTCTATGTTAGGGAGGAATTTGTGACTTGGACAGATGCATGGGGACTTCTGGGGGGTGACTTCTTTATAAGAGAAAGGGTTGCAAGATTGTACTATAGCAGGCATTCTCTGTCTGGTATATGGAAGTGCAGATCTTACCTTTGAAGCTACAACAGCATTGATGGCTACAGCTACACACTCAGATATGAAACCCTCTCTTGGCACAGGGGAAGAGGTGGTTCTTATTCAGGCTCTTGATGGCACTATGGGGCTTTGCACCTCTTCTGGAGCTACCACTCTGCACATTTCTTAGCATAAGAGGTAAGCACACACAGCTATTGCTTAGCTGAACATCATTCTAGTCTTCCTTCGCTTGCAACCAAAGTTCGTTGCTTAAGCAGATGTTGCTTAACTTCAGCTCAGGTCTGCACTGACTCTTGAGTAAACATAGGACAATCTCTTCAGATGACAATGGCAAGGTTTGTTCTTCAGAATGGGCTAGTAGTCCTGGCTGTCTCATAGAGTATGCTCTGAGAGACAAACCAGAGTGTGAGCATGACAGATTAGAATACCATTGTCTGCTGAGCTTTTTGCACATGTGGATATTAGTATTTGGTAATGGAAAGCTGGTTTCTTTTCTTATTGACAATCTTCTGTTTAGTTTAGTAGGTGATATCAATGGCATGCACACACATTTTTCTCTTTTTGTGATTCAATAGTCATTTTTGAATTTCTTAGTGAAAAAAGTAAACATGCTAATCTTTCTTAAATTAACTTCCATACTGAAAAGAAATAGAAGGTTGCTTAGCACTGAGTATAAAAACTAAAATGTTCTTTGCTACCAGAGAGATCTATATTTGAATGCCGATACAGAATGTTGAAACGTACTAATGTTGTGAGTGTGGGTCTAAAGTAGGTAACTTCTGACTGACACAGGGTTGATCATGCCCGCTTTATCATATATAGAGGTAAGGGTCCGTATTAATTTTTCCCGTGTGACTCTCCAGCTGTGCAGCCTTGTCATGTAGAAGACTATTTTCCCCCATTGAACAGTTTCAGCACTCTTACTAATTCAGATGACTAGAGACATGGCATTGTTTCTGGACTTTAAACTGTGTTCATCTTGGTCTACATGCCCACCTTCATGCTAGTGTTACACTATCAGGGCTGTTGTTGCTTTATGGTAAATTTAAAATCTGGACATGTAAGTCCTACTTTGTTCCCTTTCAAAGCCATCTTTGTTATTCTGAGTACCTTGCAATTGCCTGCGAAATTTGGAGCCAGTTTTGGGGTTTCTACCAAGCGGTCATCTTAGATTCTGACAAGGGTTGTGAAGGCTGGGCAGTTCAACGTGAGGAGTCTTTCCATCTTGGCAACACCACCCCAGAGTGGAGAGTTCCTTTTATATTAACTAATTAAGGTTTTCTTTTTGTAATGGTTTGTGGCTTTCAAGATGAGAAATTCATTCTTTTTTGTTACAATTCCTTTTATATATTGCCAAACTAAATTTGTTAGTATTGTGTTAATTTTCAATTTGCTTATTCATTAGAGATATGAATATGTATCATTTTTAAATGATGTTTGTCTTGTTTGGGGGTCAAAGTAATCCTAGTTTTAGGGACTGAAATGGGAAATTGTCATGGTCTTGCTGCAGCTTGGGTTGGGTTCAAGTCCTGAGACAAGGAAGGGCACTGGCAGAAGAAGAATTGAGGGAGTGTCTGACTCCAGATGTGCTTCACACAAGCAGCCGGCCCTGAATAGCTTGAGTCATCTTTATGTGTCCTTCAAAAACAAGCATGTTTTTCCATACTAACAAACATGTTTTTCCCACCCTCCAACATTAACCTCCAGCAAAAACAAGTATGTCAGATATTTTCCCCAACTTTTACATCAAAACCTCTTTATTTATTTATTTTGGTTTTTAGAGACAGGGTTTCTCTGTATTGTTTTAGAGGCTGTTCCGGAACTCATTCTGTAGACCAGGCTGACCTCAAACTCACAGAGATCCGCCTGCCTCTGCCTCCCAAATGCTGGGATTAAAGGCGTGCGCCACCAATGCCTGGTGTCAAAACCTCTTTTAAATCAAAAACAATGCTTATCGTTTTGCTAGCTTGGTCAAATATTGAGCTACATAAATCCTGTCTTTACAAAGCTAAAAGGTGATAAACATTGGCATACATCTTCAAGAACAATAATATTGTTCAAAACCTATTTACAGAAACAGGTGCAATCTGTCAGAAGCTGCCTGCATGCAGTTGGTTTGCACTTCTTCAAATGCCCATTAACAATTATTGCCTCCAATCCCATCAGCACTGAGTCGCAACAGTTCCCAGGGTCTGGGGTGACAGCTGGTATTTTCAGAAATGAAACCTGAGAAGCATCACTTCCCAAAGAATTTTAGGTGAAAATAGTTGAGAAAAAAAAATGGGTTTTTCAGGAATGATCACACCTGTCCCATGCAAAGTAAAAGGCGAAAGATTTATACACTCTGAAGAGAAACCAGAGTATGCATGACTGACAAAGTGACACTAAAAATCACCAAGAGAATCATCATCATTATGAGAGAGAAAAGAACGTGCAGGCCTCAGGGTCCTAGGAATATTCTGTGCTATCCTGAAGTCCACTGGCCCTTGCCAAGTGACACTGTCTTCTCGGACTTTGCCTCATGGAGACCCATTGGATAAGCACTCCTAAACTAGGCCACATGGCTCCCAACAAGAAATGTTCCCTACTCTTCTATGTTTTGAAGCAGTTCATGAACACTTCATGGCCATTCTTAGGTATTTGGTGGAGTTTTGCAGTGAAAACACACTTGTCATTTTGGCTGCCCTGAAGTCCCACTCCCAGCACAGTGACTGCCATGAAGTCCCACCCCCAGCACAGTGACTGCCATGAAGTCCCGCCCCCAGCACAGTGACTGCCATGAAGTCCCGCCCCCAGCACAGTCAACTCTGAGCAGTTGTAATACTGCAGAGTTACAACCACTAGTCAAGATTCTGTCTCCCATGAATTCTAGCGCATCTCTCATAACCATAGCAGCTGGGACGGGGCTATGTGCCCTGGAAGAGAGTGTGGTGACTGGAGTTTCAGAACAGGCTCCTCATGGTCCTTCTTCCAAGAGGGAAGGTTCATAGACTCATCGCTTTCCCCACTGACCTGCTATGATCTGTCTTGTCATCATCTATTATTTCCTTGCCACAGCTGAGGGCCAAAGAGTTCTACAGGTTGCTAGAGAAGTTCCACCCAGAATAAACAGTTATCCCATGATATCTTCTAAGGACTTTGCTAATTTCATCAAGGTCACCTATTTTTTTCCTTTTAAATACGATGCCTTTATTTTATATACAATCTCACATATTTTAAAAACTTTCGTAAGTGTTACATATTCTCATGATTAACATTCTAATGAGTAGAATATGATAAAATGAGGACATATCACTCCTGGTTTTAGGTTAAAAGACATTATGGCTTTCAGGTCCAGAGAGAGTTCAAATGTCATGAGTATATTAGAAATATTGATGAACACATTTGTGGTTTTCCACAATGCCAGAATTTATTGAATGACAATAAATTAGCAAGGTAGAATTTGCATGGTTTCATTAGCAGTAATTTGAAAAGTAGTCCCACTTAAGTAACCCCTTAATAGTCTTGGCTGGGATAAATATAGGTGTTGCTGGCAGTTTTCTTTTCTGGCCTGGTCCTGCCGTCCTTCTCAGTCCTAAATAAGCACACAAAGACTTATATTAATTATTAAATTGTTGGCTGAAGGCTAGGTTTTCTTACTGGCTAGCTCTGTCTTAATTATTAATCCACAACTACTAATCTATGTTTTTCCACGTGGTCTTATCTTACTGGAGAAAGGTCCAGACCTGCTACGCCTTGGTGGTCTACATGGCAACTGTTTCGCAGTCTTCCTCTGCCTATGTTTCCTAGAATTCTCTTAGTTCTAGTCCTGCCTATCTTCCTGCCTCATTGGCCAGACAGTGTTTTATTCATCAACCAATAAGAGAAACATATATACAGTAGGACATCCTCCATCACATAGGTATCCAAATCCTAATGTTGATATTAACTTTCAGGTCACACATTACACACAGCAAAACATCTCTACATGCCTGTATGGATAGGTTATAGAATGGATGCAAAGACTTCAGAAGTTCATGACAGGGCCTGGAGAGATGACTCCATCAGTAAAGTGCCTGGTGTGCAAGCATGAGGACCTGAGTTTAGATTCCATACCCATGTAAAAGCATGGTTGTATACATGCCTGTGATCCCAGTGCTGGAGGGAAAAAGAAGTAGGAAGATTTCTGAGGACTGCTGATTGGCAACTTACCTCCAAGTTCAGGAGAGACCCTGTGTCATAAGAATAAGGCAGAGTAATAGAACAGGGCACCTAATGTGGTCTCTATACATGCACACATGTATGTACATACAACACACACACAGAAACACACATATACACATGCACACCAGTCAGATCAGGGAGATGAGGGAGACAAGAACAAGACCCTGGAAACACATTTTAGTGTGCTGTTCAGTTGCAATCAGCTTTCTCCCATTTTCATTTTGTTATAGGGTGTGGACTCCCCTACTCCACACCCCCACCCTGCACCCATGGTTAAGACCATGGGATTTTCTGCCTCCTTCTACCTATAACTTCACTCTGTGTACACACTTCTGCACCTGGCTATGGGGTCTCCTTTATCTTTCTTCTTAAGGCATGTATGACTCGGGTCAATCTCTCTTGTGCCACACATGTGGATGTTCTGTCTCCTGCTACATCTCTGCTAACTTAACTCAGCTGTTTTCAAAAGGCGGAGGCAATGTTCAGATGATGTTTTCTGGCTGTCCCTGCTGCCAAGCAATAAGATCTCTGCATTTGCTATATCAAGTTAAAGTAGCAATAACAGATTCCAAACATTGGGTTCTTCCGGTTTTTGAAGCCCTTGCTTTTGCATACGTGCTCACTGGGTCCTGGAAGGAACTTAGAGATTCTCCTTGTTCTTTATGGATTTTCTCCCAATCCCTCTAGATCTTTACAGGAAAGAAATCCACGTTGTGTCTTCAGAAAGGCAGTCATACTTATACTGTGAAAACAAGCAAACAAACAAAAAGAAGTGAAACTTGGTCTTTACAAGCCAAGGGATGTCAGAATGAACCACACATAGTTCCCAGGAAGTTTAACAAACAGTCACAACTCTGGGATTGGATGAAGCCTGCTGCACTCAGCTTCTAGGCAGATTATGGAACTTGGTCACTCCTGACCAGGGCAGGGCCACTATGGAATCAGGCAGGCATTCTACTCATGATTCCTAAACTCCTGTGTGAGAAGAGGATGTATCAGTTACTTACTGGTGCTTCAATGCTCTTTTCTAGATGGTAACACCACTTCAATTCCTATTGATTTAGCTTGGGTATATATCCTTCCACACTGGAATAAATTTGATTCCCAAACTGTAAAAGGGGGGCTTAACTTGGATTGATAATATGAGCAGAGAGATCTGACTATAACTTGTAGCCTTTAATGTCATCCTCCAGCTAAGTATGTTTGGTAAAGACAGAATGCGATCATCTGTGGTCTAGGCTTTTAAGAATATTATAAAAAAGAGAGTAGAAAGATGGCTCAGTAGTTAATGGCTGCTCTTCCAGAGGACCTGGGTTCAATTTCTAGCACCCACAAAAATTTCATAAAAGAAAATAAGTCAGAAAAAAACTCCCAAATGTGAGAAAGTGGTCAATGTCAAAGTTGTAGGTTTAAGAATACACTTCTGGTTAAAAAAGAAATACTTCTTGATGAAAAGGATTTTATATGACAAATGAGTTTTGTCTTAAAGTATTATTTAAGATAGAAATAGAAAGTGATTAAGGAAAAACCAAAAGGTTAAAGTCTATTTCAAGAGATTTTGTGTAAGTTCAAGCTTAAAGAAAAATGGTATAAGTGTAATCAAATTGGCTATAATTAAACATTATTAAAAGTTTGAAAGTTCAGTACTCAAGTTCAAATACTGTGAAGAACTGTAGCCTGATTCTCTGTTTACAACAATTAGGTTTCCTTAAAATGCTAATTTGCTCATTAAAACTAGAGAGATAAGAGACTCTATTTTATGATGATAATTGCCTAAAATTTCTATTGACATTGTCATCCTGTGAACTACTAGGGAAACTAAGCCTTAAAAGATCCCAGATTCATGTAAAAATTGTCTTTGCCAAGATTTATACAAGTGTTACACTAAATCTTAAACCACTATTAACACTTCCAGACAAGTGTACCTGACCTTACTTGTAAATCAAAGTCATTAAGGATGAGGAAGCTAACTAAGAGTACAGCTGACATTTTGGCCTCTTCCCTAGATCAACCAGGTCCCAAGGGATAATGGGACATAACTAAATGATCCTATAGTTCCAGATGAGTAGAGAGGTGGTGGGAACTTCAGAGTTTGGACTGTAACCAGTACCCATTTTGAAGCAAAAGATGGCTCGTTGCAGTGGGAAATATCTTCAAAAGGGGTGCCACATGGTCAGCACTACCTGGACCCACCCCAAATGATGGTACTACTGACAGGAACACAACTAAAGGAAGTAAGGGTTTCATCCCAAGTTCATAAAAGTAACTCCTAAGAACTTCAACTTACCTAATAGGAAAAGAAAATGATTAATTTTGGACCACCTACACAATACACCCAACAACTACGTATAGCCAGTGAGCAGAAATGGTTGGAAAAAAACAAAAATAAAAAACAGAACTAGATTAGACTTTAACTTGAGGAAAACAATGAATCAGGCTTCACAGGCCTCCCTCCCCCAACCCCAAGTGTAAGTTACTGGCATGCCAGGTAGGATAATCACAACCACCCAGCTATAATCAGATTAAAGGACTCTTAAGCTTTTATTAACGATAAAAAAATATTTTCTCTGGCCCAAAGCCCAGGTAGGACTTCTACCCTAGTCAGCAAATTCCTCCATTGTGGACTTTTAGCTCTCTGTCTGTCCCCCTGTAATACTCCAATGCTGGCTCTTAAATTTTCTTTTCGATTTAGCCTCCCAAGATCTTTTCAAGGTGATAATGGCTCTTCCTTTACTTCCCAGGTCACTCAGTCTGTAACTGAACCCCTGGGAATTAGATATCTTGACTGTCTTGAAGACTTTCAGTCCTGTAGAAATGTAAAACATGCCAATCACACCATAATGCTGTCCATTGAAAAGCTTTCTCTTGTCTTAGAGGCTACATTCCAATGGCCTTCTCTATAATTTCTATATGTTCTCACTCAACCCCTGGCTTTAATCCTTTGGAGATGTTTTATGGGGGACCTTTTCTCATTTCAAGCCTGTTCATGGATTATAAAGCCCAACCTTAAAGCATATTTGCCTCTAGGCTCAGTGAATCCCACCGACTATCAGAGTATGTGTTGTAGAGACTGCCTGAGCCATTGGAAGAATAAGACAAATCTCTTTTTCAACTGGAAGAACCACATCCATGTCCCAGGAACTGTCAGTTTGACCATCACTCCCAAGTTAAAAGCTAGAAAGGAGAGCCTCCTGGATATGGTCCCCGGGAGACCCTGGGAAAGTTAGTGCATAGCAGTTTAAAGAGTGGATAGTAATTGAACTACTCTAGTTTGCTTCTTTGGTAAAAAGCATGCCTTACTACACAGCCATTTGTCTCTGCTTTTGTTAATTTTTTATTTTATTATTTATTGGATATCTATGTGTGTGGACATGCGTGTGTGAACTTACACACATAAAACAGTACTTGAGGAAGTCAGAGGGCAACTTGTGGGAGTCAGTTTTCTCCTTCTGCATGTGGGTCTGAAGAACTGAACTCAAGCTGTCAGTCTCAGAGGCAAGTACCTTTCCCCACCAAACCATCTCAGTGGCCCTGTTTCTGTCTCTCTATACCCCGTATGAAAACTAGATCATCCTGCTAACCTAACATTCCTGTGACAGTTTGAATAGGAATGGCTGTTCCTATTCATAGGCTCATATATTTGAGTGCTTGGTCATTATGGAGCAGTGATACTTCAGAGAGGTTAGGAGGTATGACATTGTTAGAGGAAATATGTCACTGGAGGTGGTCTTTGGGGTTTCAAATCCCAAGTCAGGCCCAATGTCTCTCTCTTGCTGCCTGCAGCAGATCCAGATGTGGAACTCTCAACTACCTGTGCAGTATTGTGTCTGCCTGTATGCTGTCATGCTTCCTGCCATGGCAATAATGGACTAAACTTCTGAACTGTAAGTCAGCCCCAATTAATTTCTTTCCTTCATAAGAGTTGCCATAGGCATCACTACAGCAATAGGAATCCTAACCGAAACAATAACCAAACTCAACACCTCCACACCATTGGTTTAGTGATATAGTTTCCATTTTTCCATCTATAGTACCATGGGATTTTATCTGAGCAAGATTAAGTGCTTTCCTGGTTATCCCATTAACATCTCATCTTCTTCTTGTGATGTAGAAGAGCAGATTCAAGCTACAGTCAGGTGCCATCATCACTTTTGATAAATAGCTTTGATGTTGGAGTTCCAGATTTTCATAGTAGAAATGGCTTATGCCTCTTTTACCTTTGCTGGGGATCATATTCCTCCTTGGACCTTGTACTTAGTTGCTGTCTTACTTTTATCTCCTCTTTTCCACTTGATCCCTCAAGAGGTCCTGAGGCAATCTCACTCCACCAATCTGAGTCTCCCAGAGAGTCCACTAAGGCAGAGATTTGACAAGGGTAGAAACCCTAAATCCTTCTATGACCTATTTCATATGAAGTAGCTAAATCAATCTGCTACTCATCATTCTTTAAAATATTTTAGGATTTCTACTCTTAGAGGGCATTGGTAGATAGCTAGTCACGTAGGCTCGAAGGTCCCCTTCCCTCATCATCATCAGCTTCTTAAACTAGGAACAGAAACTTGAAGGCTTTGTTTACCAGTCAGAAGAGTCTGATTTGAGGTTCATCTCTGGCCCTGGGTAGACACACACATATGGTGTGATTCTATTCATTTCACTTTACAAAACAACTATTCACTTCAGATAGGGAACCAGTGACCAAAGAAATGATTCCACCTAAATTTAGTTTAATGAATCAGTGAATTTATTGGACTTACTTATATGAATATGAGTGAGGGGTTATTTATAAGAGCATGGATGCACAGCAGGTGCATCACCACAAATTCCACCCCAGTATGGCTAATAACTCATGAAAGCTGTGTCCCTGGAGCTTTCTACAAGACTTGAAGGCAACTTATCTAGTTAGTCTCTTTTCCCAACAAATATTATTTACATAACTTTGGGGAGAGCCCTTGAGAATCTTGTAAGTTTCAGGAACTTTCTGAGACTTGTGAGTTTTTTACTTTCCTAACCTTGTACGTTTTGTTTACTTCTAGAATTTGTGCCTTTTAGATTTATTTTATGTGTATGGATTTTTTTGTCTGTATATATGTATGTATGTAGTGCCTGCAGCCATAATGTAGGTGCTAGGAACCGAACCCAGGTCTTCTACAAGAACAAGTGTTCTTAAACACTGAGCTATCTCTCCAGGACCTACTTTCTAGAGTATTAACAAACCTCCTCTAAGAAGCAGCGTTTTAATTTTAAAAAATAGCTATACAACATGGCATTGTAAAGTGCCCCAAAGATGCTAAGGTTATTGTCATCTAACTGGAGGCTTTCTGGGGTGTAACAAAGACATGCTATGTGTCAGGAGTTAATTCAAATGTACCTGTCAATCACTTGGGTAGAAAAGGTCTTATAGGAAGTTGTTCCCAGACAGTTTAAGAAATAATATGAAATGTACCTAAAATATAAGTAGACTCACTGGTCATTTCTTATCTCATGCCTTGTGTTTTCCTCTGTAACAATTTCTTGGGCTAGTTTACTCCAGCATCTGAGAGTGTGCCGTATGCTCACTTTCACCCCTCAAGAGTGTTCCCTTTGGCCGTTGCCTACTTTTGCCTCATACCGTTCTATAATAGACTCTGCCTGGCTTCTACACCATGCTTTGTTCATCATCTGAATTGGTTTGATGGAGATTACAAGACTGGGAAGCCATGGGAGGTCAGAGCAAGATCCTAGTAACAAGACATGTGTCAAAAACTAACGGCATCTTAAAATCACGACAGATGCTGATACGACGTGGCTGGTTCACTGAGAAGGGCTGTGGCTTTAGGTCAGACAGCTGCTTCTCTCACATATTTCAGTAAAATACGTCTATGAAGGATCTGTTAGAAGAAAACTCTTGAAACCAAACGATCTCTGAAAAGTATTTGCTGAGTTGGGAAGATGTTAGCCGTAACAGGGGGCCAGGTCCAAGGACAAGTTCTTGCAAATTCCAGCAGCAAGTCTGGGTAGAAATTGTGAAATGTCTATTGGACCAGATTAAGAGCCATTGCTGGTTTTGTTGTTTAAGGAAAGTATAGGAAGGAAGGCATAAGTTGTTTACACTGAACACAGACACACTGTGGATAAGAGAGGCAGTTTTATTGTTGCTTCTGAATTGGTTGCAGCTGTAAGCAGGATGCAGTTGTACCTAGAGGGTCATGATGTGGAAAGTCGAGCACATTGAGGCACAGGGCATAGTTTTGTTCTTTTAGGTCTGTAGCCTGTTAACTTTCTATCCCACCCCCACCATACACACACACACACACACACACACACACACACACACACACACACACACGCACAC